TTCCATCTCGTTGAAGAAGACAAACAATCAAGAAAGTGTGCAGAAGCTTTGGCCTTCCAGAGGTTGGTGGAATACAACTCCCATCATGGTAGCTGGTGCTGATGGGAGATGAATCCCACTGCATCTAGAGGGCTACGTAGTCCTCCATCTTACTATCAACATTAATGTGAAGCAGCATTCCATCTCGTTGAAGAAGACAAACAATCAAGAAAGTGTGCAGAAGCTTTGGCCTTCCAGAGGTTGGTGGAATACAACTCCCATCATGGTAGCTGGTGCTGATGGGAGATGAATCCCACTGCATCTAGAGGGCTACGTAGTCCTCCATCTTACTATCAACATTAGGTCACTGCAAGATGGTAGCATGAGAAGCCGAGCCCACCAGGGCTGGTCCTACCATGAGGTCGTATAAAGTGGCAACTTCTAGGGAGATCTGTTTAAGGCCAAATATGAAATGGAGTGACCCCATCTCCTATGGAGTTGGGTCATACACCCAAGAAAACCCAGGCTTTGGGTTTACAACAGCTACATAGGGCTGTTGAGGACGAGATATTTTGGACACCATAGGGTCATAGAATCCCAGAATAATGGAGCGGAAAGGCCTTCTAAGGTCATCCAGTCCAACCCTCTGGCTCAAGGCAGGAATCCAAGCCAAAGCAGATCTGACAGATTGTGGTCCAGTTTTCTCTTGAACGCCTCCACCGTTGGAGCGCTCACCACCTTTTGAGGTTATTGGTTCCACTGCCGTACTGCTCTAACAGTTGAGAAGTTTTTTCTGATATTCAGCCCAAACTTGGCTTCCTGTAGATCAAGCCCGTTATTACGTGTCCCGCACCCTGAGAGGATCAAGAACAGATCCTGTCCTTCTTCTTTAGGACAATCTTTCAAATTTTTAAAGAGTGGCTCAGTCTTTTCTGAAGGTAAACCTGCCCATAGTTTGGAGGCAAACGGATGACATGTAATGGCAACACTGGCATGTTTGCAAATCTCTGAGTTTGGGGAATTTACCTTATTTTTCACATCATAAGATGCACTTTTTCCCCACAAAACAGGGGGGTGGAAAGTCTGTGTGTCTTATGGAGCGAAGAAAACAGATTATATTTTCCTGTTTTCTTCTCCTAAAAAATTGGTGCGTCTTATGGAAAGGTGCGTCTTATGGAGCAAAAAATACGGTAGGTTTTTGGAAGAAAACTCTCACAACTTCCCAACCAGAAATTTCCCCCCCAGATCTGGATGGTTTGCAGTGTGTTCTGAAGCAGATTATGACAAACTGAGTCAGGGAGGGCTGACAGATGGGGCTGGTCCCTCAACTTTAACATCGGCCAGAGATGTCCTGTGGAAAATTTTAAGGTGTGGGGGAATTTTCAAAAGCGAGAACTCAAAACGGATGCAATTTGGGAGCACAGATTAGGGTCCTCTTTTACAGGCGTCATCATGGGAAGAGCTTAAAAGAAAGCTGCGTGCTGTTGGCCAAGTGATGTTGGCTTTATATAATCTGGAAGAGCGAAGATGATTAAATTAAATTAGAGAGGGACAAGATGAACGGCGACCGTAAAATAAGGAGTAATCTCCTGGTTTTGCAGCAGCTCTTCAAAGAAACACCCTGCGAGGTGTTATTTGACAAGGTAAGATGAAGATGGAAAAGAGAGGTCATTATACCTTAGTTTTTTAAAAAAGATAACATTTCAAAAGATTCTAAACCACTGGACATTGAGAAGTAATACCTGGTTATTTGACCATCTCAGTTTACTCTATCCCAAGCGTTTTTTTATCAAGAGCATCTGGCCTATCTCTCTCTCTGAAACACTGCACGTTATGAACAGGTACATCGGTTGCTAGATATGCAGGTAGTTCTGAGACGAAGCTGGGAAGTTGGCGGAGGACCGCTTAAGTGCTGGTAAAGACTTGAAGCGACAGAATCATGGAATCCTAGAATGGTGGATTTGGAAGGGGCCTCTAAGGCCATCCAGTCCAACCCCCAGCTCAAGGCAGGAATCCAAATCAAAGCAGATCTGCCAGGGGATTGTCCCATTTCCTCTTGAATCCCTCCAACGTTGGAGAGCTCACCACCTTCCCTTGAGGTCACGAGTTCCGCTGTTGTACCGCTCTAACAGTTAGGAAGTTTTCCCCCTGATCTTCCGCCTAAATCCGGGCTTCCTAGAAGCTGCCGCTCAAACACAAACTGGGAAATAAAGTCCCATCTGAACATCAGCAGCCCACGGCCCTTACTCGATGGCAGCTGCCACTCAAGCAAATAAACTGGGAAATAAAGTCCCATCTGAACATCAGCAGCCCACGGCCCTTACTCGATGGCGCTCGGTGGTAAGGCTGCTCCTGGCACTCCGAGGAAGGCCCAGAAAGGGAGTAACACAGAAGGTCCAGCATCTTTTATGGTTTTTCTTCCCTGGGGTCTCATCGCTTGTGGACACACACACATCTTTTAAGTTAACGTGCACAGACTCAGGCCCGGAGCACCA